GAGGAGGTGGAAAAGGAGGGAAGAGGAGGAGGAGGAGGAGGAGGAGGAGGAGGAGAAGGAGGAGGAGGAGGAGGAGGAGGAGGAGGAGGAGGATGAGGAGGACGGGGAGGAGGAGGAGGAGGAGGAGAGGGCGGAGGAGGAGGAGTAACCAGAAGTAGCTATGAAGGGGCGACGTCCGAGGAAGACAAAACGAGTTAAACGGGGGCTGGTCTGACGACGAGCCCCCTCGGTGAGGGAGGACGGTAGGGTGGCGCGCGCGGGGCCGTCCTCCTGCCGGGCGGCTCCTTGACGAAGCCGCCGACGGCGGGGAGGCAGCCGCCGCGCGCGGGGCGGCGGGTGCCGCCGCGTATCCCCCTCCCGCCGACGACGCCGGCTCACCTCCCTCGCCTGGCCTCCGCCGCGACCCGCCCAGCTCTGACCAACTGGATGGACCGTAGGGGCCCTCTGTGGGAGGGGAAGAGACCTCTGCGCAACCGCACGAGGTTCTGAGCTCCTTTGGGGGTGGGGTCTGCACATTCCTTGGCTAGCCATCTGCCGTCAAGCGTGGCAGTGGACCCGCATCTGGAACACACATGCAATGCCAAATCAGGCCAGAAATGCACTACATGCGTGCTGTGTGCTCGAGTGGTGCCTATCCAGACTTCGCCCTGCCTGCGAACGAACTGCGACCACTCCGACGCAACCGAATCATCTACAGGGGAAAGGCCAGGGCACTCCATCGCACAGAACCTGAGCAGCTGTGAAGTGGGAGCCAGCTGCAAGCACTTGGTGCACCTCCATTTGGACCCAATCTGTTTGCACTCGTGCGTTGACACTCTGAGAGCTCGGACCTGCTGTGGGGGAGGAGCTACTCTCTGCTTCGAAAGACGAGTGGCCTGCCACGGGTCTACCCGGAGCGAGGAAAGAAGTGCTCTGCGTGCCCTGCGCCTCACCAAGTGAGCAATGCAACCATGCTTGCCTGTCAGCGGCACTGGCTGCACGGCAAAATCCGACCACGCACGCTGCGCCGCCAGGCCTGCCAACTCACCTGCATGCTTGTTGCCTGCGTTGAGAAAGGCCTGCCTGGCCGAAAGCCGCTGGCCCGCGTCCTCCACGGGGGGGGCGGCCTGCACGGAGGGGGGAGGACAGGGCCGGAGGAGGAGGAGGAGGAGGAGGAGGAGGAGGAGGAGGAGGAGGAGGAGGAGGAGGAGGAGGGGCAGGAGGAGGAGGAGGAGGAGGAGGAGGAGGAGGAGGAGGAGGAGGAGGAGGAGGAGGAGGAGGAGGCGGCCGTCCACGCGGCGTGCACCTCGGCCTCGCCGCGCTCGCGAAGAGGCCGCCGCCGCTCGATGCCGCAGGAGCCTGCTTCGGGCCCTGGCCTGCCGGGGGGCGCGGCCCGCTCTCCGATGCGCCCAGGACCGGCTGGCCATCGATGGCGTACACGAGCGGGCCCGCGGTTCCCTCCAGCGCCACGGCGAGCGCCGCCATCTCCGCGCGCGGCACTGTTTGCCGCGGCCCAATATTCAATCTTATTAAGCTTTGCAGATTGCTGAATCTTTATGCATATTAGCACGAGAATATTTTATGAGCCGGGGGCCCGACACGCCACAAGCTGGCTCCCAGGAGCCGTCGTCTCCCTGCTAAAACTGAAGGCGGCCGCCGAGCCGCACCTGCGTCTCCCGGGGTCGCTGCTGAACTGTCCGCCCGACCCATCCCCAAAGAAGCGCGGTGGGTCCGGGCCTGGCTGGACACAAAAATCGATAAGCCGAGGAGTGCCATGGTACTGGTACGGGGGAGGGTCGAGAGGGTCGAGGAAACGAGGACAGGCGAGGTCTCTCGACGGCACTCCTCGATGCCACAGCGATGGGTCCGACTCCCGCTGTGCCGTAGCTTGGGTGAGAAGGACCTGCGTTTTGTCGAAGTCAGGATGCCCCTTGTTGCTGTCGCACTGCCAAATTCTGTGAAACAAGGTCTCTGGGCCCGCCTTACATCGAGGGCAAGTGACATCAATCGTGTAGCCGCTGTCAACTTGCCCCTGGCGGGGCCACTGTCCTCGTGAGCTCGCGCATAACTCCATCCCCCACAGGTCCGCCTCCCCCCGCACCTCGAACCGACGGGGCTCTTGTTGGAGGAGGAGGATGTCCGCCCCAGCACTCGGGCTGCTGCCGCTGTCGTGCCGAGCAGCAGCCTGCCAGAGGTTGGCTCGGATGTCGGCAAGTAGCTCAAGCAGGAGTCGGCATGATCTGAAAGGCCCGCCAAGTCGAAATCTGGGTCTCCGAGTCTCGGGCATCTCCAGGCATGGTCCGCGTGCGAGGGTCTCTCCAGGAGGTCGGGCTCCTTGGGGTCCCACCCCGCTTCCAGCAGGAGTGGCCCGGGGCGCAGCTGTCGGCCCTCGGATCCCTCTCCAGCGAAACTGACCAGCTTCTTTCCAGCCGCGCCCTGACCAGGCCCCAGGAGCGACGGATCCGCGGCTGGAGGGCAGGGGACCTCTTCTTCCAGAGCTGGAGCCACGCGTCAACAAACCGGCGGCGGACCTCCAACGCGGGGCCGCCGTCTCCCAGCGCAGTCCGCAGACCAATTGTTGAGAGCGCTTTCCTCCCCCAGGAGCCGAGGCTGTGCGAGCAGCTTTTCGTCTGAGCAACAGGACCTGACTCGGTGGCGTGCCCAGGCATTGACGGCCGTAGCTGGCCTACGGCACAGCTCCAGTGCGCCGCGCACCCTGGGGCACTTTGCGCAGCCCAGCCAGCCGCCGCATCTGGAGGATTCTCGCAGAGCGCCCGCTGGCTTTGGTCATCATCTGTCTGGCCTGGCGCCGAGACCTGAATCGACCCGCCGCGGTGTCAACTCCCAAGTCGACTCCAGTAGATGCATGCCTGGCTGGCATACCCCGAGCACGGAGAATCTTAGCCACTCGCTGGCCAAGCTCTGGTGACGTCGACAACGCAACAATCTTGTCCGACACCGTAAGTCGTTTGGTCTGGAAACCTTCTGAAAACGCGCCAGCCAACTCAGTCATCTCTGAAATCACAGCCTCTTGTATGCCCTCGGATCTACCAACAGTATCGTCAACGAAGGTCCACAAACAGGCTCTAGGGGCTTTTTTTCTGTGAGCGGCTTCCAAACCTGAATGCAAGAACACTTTTCCCAAGCACACGCCATGCGAAGAACTTGCAACGATAGAACGTCCTGGGCAGAAGGGGTCACTGATGACCGGCTTCTCCTTGAGGATGCGCGGCGCCATGAAGAGTAAGACCTCCATGATCACCACTGCTGGTGGGAAATTGAGCGACCTGGCCGCCACAATGAGGAGCACATAGGAGATCGAATCATAGAACTTGGCGATGTCAAGCAGCACCGTGACGGCAGAGAAGCCCATCGTGACAGTGACCTCGTCCATCAAGCTCCTTGCCGTGGCTGCTCTGAGGGCGCTGCTGCCGCGGATGGCCGTGTCCCAGAACGCACTCAGCCCTTCTGACCACTCCGACGTGATAGAACTCCTGGCCTGGCTCCTTGTTTTGTAAATCTGGGGTAGGATTCCCAATACTCTGGTCCCGCCTGGCGCTTTGGGCATGACCGCGCAAATCGTGGCGAGGAGTGCCGTAGGCAACGTGAGCTCCTTCTCCACGTGGTGCAGCAGGTAGGTGAACTCCTTCATGCCTGAGCTTGGCATTCTCTGCAGGTCTATAGGTCCCAATCCGTCCACCCCTCGCGCCTTATTGGGAGCTTGCCGCCTGAGGGTGGTCTCAAGCTGGCCTTCGTTGAGGGGCGGCAGTGGTTCCTCTCGCGCATCACGGGCCAAGCCCTCCAACGCCCAACGCATATCCTGTGCTGGCCCTTGGGGTCCGTCCAGACTGTTTGCCATGCCTCCTTCTCGGCGCGCATCAGGATGCACGGCTCAGCGGTAAGTTTGCCATCTCGTAGCACCTCAGGAGGAGGAGGAGGAGGAGGAGGCAAAGGAGGAAAAGGAGGAGGCGGAACCTGATGATGCTGATGCTGATGCTGATGCTGCTGATGATGATGATGATGATGATGAGGAGGAGGAGGAGGAGGAGGAGGATTACCCAAGGATTACCCCAAGCCGACGCAGTCGGAGACGCCTCTGGAAGGAGGCTCACTTAAGAGGCCTACCCTCGGAAAGGAGGAGGAGGAGGAAAAGGAGGAGGAGGAGGAAAAGGAGGAGGAGGAACAGGAGGAGGATGAGGAGAAGGAGGAGGAAAAGGAGGAGGAGGAGGAGGAAAATGATGATGCTGCTGATGATGATGCTGCTGCTGATGATGAGGATGGGGAGGAGGAGGAGAAGGAGGATGATGAGGAGGAGAAACACGAGGAGGAGGAGACGGAGTGGGAGGAGAAGGAGGAAAAGGACGGGGAGGAGGAGGAGGAGGAGGAGGAAAAAGGAGGAGGAGGAAAAGGAGGACGAGGAGGAGGACAAGGAGGAGGAGGAGGAGGAGGAGGAGGAGGAGGAGGAAAGGAGGAGGAAGGGAGGAGGGACATGAGGAGGAGGATGAGGGGGGAGGAGGAAAAGGACGGGGAGGCGGAGGAGGAGGACAATGAGAGGAGGGATGAGGAGGAGGCGGAGGAGGAGAAGGAGGAACATGAAGAGGAGGATGAGGAGGAGGAAAAGAAGGAAAAGGAGGAGGAGGGGAAAGGAGGAGGAACATGATGAGGATTCGGATGATAATGATGATGATGATGATGATGATGATGATGATGATGATGATGATGATGATGATGATGATGATGATGACGAGGAGGAGGAGGAGGAGGAGGAGGAGGGAAAGGACGGGGAGGAGAGGAGGAACATGAGGAGGAGGAGGAGGACAAGGAGGAGGAGGAGGAACATGGTGATGATGATGATGATGATGATGATGATGATGATGATGATGATGAGATGATGATGATGATGATGATGATGATGATGATGATGATTATGAGGAGGAGGAGGAGGAGAGGAGGAGGAGGAGGAGGAGGAGGAGGAGGAGGAGGAGGAGGAGGGGGAGGAGGAGGGGAAGCGGCCGCCGCGC